TTTTTGTATTTATTATTGGTATTTAGTACAGGATACTTCGTGTTTGTTTTTGTATTTATTATTGTTATTTAGTACAGGATACTTCGTGTTTGTTTTTGTATTTATTATTGTTTTTTAATACAGGATACTTCGTGTTTGTTTTTGTTTTTATTACTGTTTTTAACACAGGATACTTCGTGTTTGTTTTTGTATTTATTATTGTTTTTTAATACAGGATACATCGTGCTTGATTTTGTATTTATTATTGTTTTTTAATACAGGATACCTCGTGCTTGATTTTGTATTTGCCATTCTTCTTACTAAGAATAAAATGACATTAGAATAAGAATTACTTTTAACAAATGAGCTATAAAGTAATGAAAAAATATCAATACAAACAATAAGTACAGTTACCTTTGCTGTTGCTTTGTTTCACGTTACTTGTCTTCTTTCCATTGTAGGTCAAATTGTTAGGGAGCTTGTCTCGTAATCTGCAGGTCGCGGGTTCGAATCCCCGTCCCACCAAACATGCTCGCCCTTTCAGCCATGGGGTGTTATAATGTGACTGTCAATCCCACTATTCGTTGGTAAAAGAGTAGCCCACGGGTTGGCGGTTGGTGGTGATAACTAGCTACCTTTCCTCTAGTCTTACACTGCAAAATTAGGGACTGCTAGCGCAGATAGCCCTCGTGTAGCTTTGCGCGAAATTCAAAACAAACAAACCAAATACTAGTTAAGAAATCAGTTAGCTAGTTGTGAAACAGTGGAATTTAATGTAGAAATTCACCGTAATTTTGTTATTACGATTATGTGACAAGATCTTGGAACATTAAGACTTCTTACAAAAAAAAAGTGATGTATTTCACTTCCGTTCTAGCTTTTTATTTAATTTGATTTTCTCTGTGTTCGAAAAACGTTTTTAATTTAATTTTGTTTTGCTTTTTTTTGCCATGAAGGTATCATCTGAGACACATCACCGGCTTTCATGTGCGTTGAATAGACAGATAGTCAGATAGGTGAATGGACAGACGAACACACACGCACACATAGATAGATAAACAAGGTAGTAATGCCAGCAACTGAAGATAAAGTTCCCATGCGAACGATCGGAACGCCAGCTACAGAAGCAACAGTGTATTACCCAACTTCCGGCTTCGAGTGAATGAGTCTGAGGTATGGGAACTACAAACTTTTCCTTTCCACACACACCTCGAAGCGGGGCAGTCAGTTATCTGCACGAACTACTTACTGTATACCTTTTGTAGAATAGACGATCAGGCCTAACATAATACGTGTTCATTGTATCATACTTGTGGCATTAACGTTTACGGTCTGTTTAGAGAAGAAAAAATCCTGTAAAATTAAGCCGACACACACCAAAGTTGTACGCTTAAATCTTATGGGAATTTATTCGCTAATCTGTAGACTCCCTGAGAAATGCAGTGCGTATTTACTATTTTACAACTAAAATTCTGTGTGAAAATAGACCTCACCTTCTTTGGCTTACCTTTATCGAAACTATAACTCTATTTCGTAACTATTATTACTGCAATATATATATATATAACGTGTGTATTGAATAAAAATAATTCAACTAAAATTTACTAGGAGAATACTTTGTAAGCTATATTTTTAACGTTGTACTTTTTTGTTTTGTTTTGTTAGCTATAGAGGGCTGCGGGTTATAACGATTATTTTAAGTTAGGCCTAGAAAGTTCTGGTTTTGTAGTATATTCAATGGTAGTTTATAGATGCGAAATAGTTCAATGAAGATTGTAGAGTTTGTTTCAAGATAGTAGAACCGTTTCTAGCCGGTAGAGCCAACCAGTCAGTTCGTGTTTTTTGTTTTGTTTCAGCCTTTAAATGGTACCAATAAGTTTATTATTTACGTTAACATCACTTGTAAACGTGGCGTACAGCTGTGTACAGTGAAGGTAGTTTGTAAAAATGTTCAGGAAAAAATAAACCAATTTTACGTGGACTGGACTTTGAATTATTTTCACCAGATAATCTAAAAGAACTTCCAACGAAAGAATGACGCTAGAATAATACTGACTTATTAGGCTTAATAATTAATCTATTTGTAACTAACATATTTTAGGTTTTTCAGGTAACCAACTGAAGTGATCACTTAAACCTACCAACTTTACTAAATCTTCATTGCTGGCTTTTGTTTAGTAATAATTTTTAGAATGATCATTTATAGCAAACAAACAAAACCTTGTTCATTTCTTATTTATTTAGCAATAAGTATGAATGCCTATAACGCTAAGTATCAGGTTTCGATACCCGTGGTAGGTAGTGCATAGATAACCCATTGTGTAGATTTGAGCTTAACAACAAACAAATGTTACTAATAATTTTTAGAATAACTATTTTTAGTCAATTATTTTACCTAAGCTGTTCATTTATGGTTTTTATTTCATGATATTGTTTGTTTCTTTATTTCAGAAGGTGTACAAAACTACACAAGGGGTATCTGCAGTAGCCGTCTCTAATTTGGAAACCGTAGACAAGGAGGGTAGCTAATTAACAGCGCCCATCGCCAACTCTTGGATTTCTCTAATTGTGGAATTTGACCGTCACTTTTATAACGCGCTGATGATCCCAAAGTGCAGAGTGCACTTTTGCAGCAATCATGGACCATCGGATTTGAAGTTCAGTACGCTAACTAATAGGCCACGCCCGCCTTCTCTAATGTTAATATTTATAATTAATATTTTCAATCGGATATTTCACCAACACTTTGTTCATGTTTTCTTTTTTTTTAAATTGTAATCTTTCGAATAAATATTTTGACAAGAATATGTTTTTTGGGTCTTCCCAGTTTGTTCTTTTTATTTCTTTTTATTATTATTATTGAAGGAAATTTTTATTACTACGAAAGTATACTGTTTTCATACATATTTGCCAGTTTTGCGGGTCGTTAAAATAAAAGGATATTTGAGGCCCAAAAATATTAAAATATTTAAATTTTAGTTTTGAACAATTTCCAGTTTCATATCCACGTGACGACAAATCCCAAGAACTAGTATTTTAGACTAAAGGAACACATATAAACTATATATATATATTTATTTTTATTTTTCATTAATAATGCCTTTTATTGAACTATACTATAAGCTGTAGTCGTTTTTAGCGCCCTCTGTAATCATAATATAAATTCCAAGGTTGACTGCACTGACATACATCAAACACTCAGCGAACAGTTTTTCAAGAACGAAAAACCTAAGCCTCGTCAGGTCGAGAAGAAAAACGCCCAAACCCTGAAGATAAAATAGTAATTCCGATGGCTATCACTAGGTTCCGAGAAAACTACTGAACAATCTTTGGAATTCGGTTGACTTTACAAAGACAGAGAGAGTTTTTATTAGGGTTAACTTTTATCCCTGAATCTGAAAGGAACAACATATATCAATATATATAGATTCGTTGTGATTTTCTCATGAGAATAAAGCAAGTTTTAACAGTTTTTCTTTTATTATTTTATACACAAATAATTATAGTAAGTATAGAATGCTGATAAAAAAAAAATAATAACAATCATAAGATGAATGTACCAATATTTACCAGTAAAAATAATTTTGAGAAATTGTGTTGAAAAGTTTATTGTAAAGAGTAGAAGAACAAGATATGAAACCTATACTCTAACGGTTAAAAATGGCCCGGTATGGCCAGGTGGTTAGGGTGCTCGACTCGCAATCTGAGGGTCGCGGGTTCGAATCCCCATCCCACCAAACATGCTCGCCCTTTCAGCTGTGGGGGCGTTATAACGTGACGGCCAATCCCACTATTCGTTGGTAAAAGAGTAGCCTAAGAGTTGGCGGTGGGGGTGATGACTAGGTGCCTTCCCTCTAGTCTTTCACTGTTAAATTAGGTACGGCTAGTGCAGATAGCCCTCTTGTAGCTTTGCACGAAATTTAAATTCACCCCCCCCCCAAAAAAAATTGATTGATAGGGTGACAACTCACACTCTTAATGATGTAAATTTATAATAAACGAAAGTTCAGATTCCTGCTATGTGTGAAAAACTGTAAACTAATAAACAAATTATAAGTCAAGTAAGCGAAATTTATCAGTAACTCTTCACAAGAATCTGGTATGGTTTATGGTTAGCGTGACAGAACTGTGAATTTGATTATCCGTGTTCGCGTCCGTTAGCCACAAAAACGCGTTCCGCACTTTGGAGCCGTAGTTGCGTTATAAGAGTGTCGGTCGAATTCCTCTATTCGATTGAAGTAGCCAATGGGTTGATGGTAGGTGTTTTTGAGTAACTAACTACCTTTTATCTTGTCTATCATTTCAAAAGTTATAGATGACTGGCGCAGTTCCTGAGTGAATTTCCGAAACAAACGTATACATTTGGAACTTTAAGCTTACAATTGTATAAAATGTGGCTTATTACTATTTAATATTTCATAATTTTATTATGGTTATGAAATCAAATTATCTGACTAATGGTGTGAAATCACAGTTTTTTGGATTTAGCTCCTGTACGATTACTTCACACCCATATAAGTGTGAATTTACACTTTTTGGGGTGTAGGTCCTGTATGATTACTTCACACTTTCTTTTAGAATGTAAGCACTAATTTATTTTACTTGTTCTATGAGCCTTTTTCTTACCAGCCCCCCAGTGGCACAGCGGTATGTCTGCGGACTTACAACGTTAGAATCCGGGTTTCGATACCCGTGGTGGGCAGAGCACAGATAGCCCATTGTGTAGCCTTGTGCTTAACTTCAAACAACCTTTTTCCTACCAATACGCCACCCAGTGGCACAGCGGTATGCCTACGGACTTACAACGCTAGAAACCGGGTTTCGATACTCGTGGTGGGCAGAGCACAGATAGCCCATTTTGTAGCTTTGTGCTTAACTTCAAACAACCTTTTTCCTACCAACACGCCCCCCAGTGGCACAGCGGCATGTCTACGGACTTACAACGTTAGAATGCTAGAACAAACAAACAAAACTCTTACTGTGATCCTTGCGACAAAAGGAACCAGACCAACAATCATGTTTGAAGACTCCTAAAATTAGTTATTTATTAGTGACTTTCAAAGTATTCGGTATAATGTTTGTGTCCATTTCATTTCTCTGCATAAAATCAAATTTCTTACAAAAGAAACACATTTTTTCTGCTTTCTTTCTCTTGCTGTAAATCAGCGATTATTAAAAATTTGGGCATTAACACTATGTTATGTCTATGTTATTCCAGATGTAAAAACTATATTAACAAAGGCCTAGATTTGATACTCCGTGTAAATGCTTGCACTAATTTAGGTTATGGTTGTATGAAGATCAGTTTTATCTCTTTAAAAAAAACAAACAATAACGGATAAAGACGTTATTTGTATTTCGTATTTATGGCAAGGCTTCTAAGGCCATTTGCTCAATTTTTGAACTACTGACCACAGGAAAGGCAGTCTGTCAGCACCATCCGCCATCCACACTAAGGGATTGACTATCATTCTTATAACGCACATACAGCTTAAAGTGCGGAGGAATAGGGTGTAATATCGCACGGATTCGAACGCTGCTCGCCAGCTCCGAAATCCAGAGCTCTATCACTGGGCCAACTGGCACTCAATAGAAATATTATGATACCGGAATCCTGAGCTCTACCACTGGGACAACCGGCACTCAATAGAAATATTATGATACCGGAATCCTGAGCTCTACCACTGGGTCAACCGACCCAGTAGAAATATTATAATACCGGAATCCTGAGCTCTACCACTGGGCCAACCGGCATCTAATAGAAATATTATGATACCGGGATCTTGAGCTATACCACTGGGACAACCGGCACCCAATAGAAATATTGTCATACCGGAATCCTGAGCTCTACCACTGGGCCAACCGGCATCTAATAGAAATATTATGATACCGGAGTCCTGAGCTCTCAGTAGAAATATGAATGGTGCTCGGAAGCAGTTCGATAATGTTTTCGAAAATAATTAGTAAACGTGGCAAATCAAAATTCGACTTGAAGGTGTTTCGTTAACAAAAAGAATATGTGAATGTGGTTTCTTATTTACTTTCGTTACACTGTACGTCTTCATATTTATATATGGATTTACAATACTTTACAGGCCCGGCATGGCCAGAAGGGTCACGGGTTCGAATCCCCGTCACACCAACCATGCCCGCCCTTTCAGTCGTGGGGGCGTTATAATGTGACGGTCAATCCCACTATTCGTTCGTAAAAGAGTAGCCCTAGAGTTGGCGGTGGGTGCTAAATTAGGGATGGCTAGCGCAGATAGCCCTCGTGTAGCTTTGCGCGAAATTCAAAACAAACAAACAAACAATACTTTACTTATCGGAAATCTTTAAGATTCTTCTCCCAGCAGCTGAAGACTTCTTTACAGTCGCGAAATTGGACATCTTGTATCTTCTCCCAGCAACTGAAGACTTCTTTACAGTCGCGAAATTGGACATCTTGTATCTTCTCCCAGCAACTGAAGACTTCTTTACAGTCGCGAAATTGGACATTTTGAATCTTCTCCCAGCAACTGAAGACTTCTTTACAGTCGCGAAATTGGACATTTTGAATCTTCTCCCAGCAACTGAAGACTTCTTTACAGTCGCGAAATTGGACATTTTGAATCTTCTCCCAGCAACTGAAGACTTCTTTACAGTCGCGAAATTGGACATTTTGAATCTTCTCCCAGCAACTGAAGACTTCTTTACAGTCGCGAAATTGGACATTTTGAAGCACTCTAGAGTCGTTTCCAATAGTTTTTTCAGCTTTTCTTATGAACATAATTTTTAAGTCTAATCATTTATGAATGTTTGATGTTTGATACCATAACATTATTCAAGTCAAATATTTACCGTAAAGTTGTTGTGAGCTGATATCAATCATTGTCAAGATTATTTATATGATCATCTGAGTCTAAGTACTAAGCTATTATTCTGGTGACGGCTGAAAGTATTGTGTGTAATGGTCGCTATTTGATCTCTGGTCTTCATTTTTGAAAAGGTGCACCCATCTGCGGACTTACAACTCTAGAAAACGGTCCATCAAATTCCAAACTCTAGTTTAAAACGACCACTACAAGATCAGAATGTTTAACACAGAAAAATATGGTAACCCGCTTCTTATGAAACATCGGAAAAATTTGTCACAAAAACATTCTAACAACTAACAGTACACCACAGCACCAACCCACACATCTATAGTATACCTAAGATTCACCAGCAAGGATAGCCTATCCATCCAGTAGTTAATTTTATAGATTCACATCTTAATTTGATAACTTGTAAATATAAAATTGACCAATAACTAGCAAAACACCTTCACAGGGATTATAAAAACAACCACGATAACCTTAAAGGATTCAAAAACATTGAAACGCTACAGATACACTACCGACAGCTTGACAACGACAATCTCCACGACAGTGAAACTTACAGCTATTTTTATCACAACTTATTTCTAACTCAAAGATAAATACTATCAACAAAAAGAAGGCCTAGCTATGAGTTCACCCTTATCATCATCGCTCAGTAACCTTTACATGGAACGTGTAGATAACGCCTTCAAAACAGCCTTACTAAAACACAGAATTTGACTAAGATGCGTTGACGACACGTTTATAATAGGGTCATTCACTAAAAACAAAATTTAAAAAATTCATAAACCACCCGAACAAACAAAATTCAGCGATATAATTCACAGTGGAAGTGGAAAAAAACTCTCATCATAGATGTGAGCCCCCACCCCCCAC